AACCGCGCTAGGCAAGGAGTCATGTGGTGGTCTGGCCATGACCGCTACATCACCCCCCACCAGTGGTTTAGTCCGATGCCGGCGATTTGCGAGGGCGACCACGAGGTCTTGCCGGCGCGGAAGGATCAGGAAGTGGATGTTTGCGAGGACGACCGACCTTTCGCGGAATGTTGAAGGTGACAGTTCGTTTGTCCACCTTAGTCGGCGTCAGATGCTGAATGTTTACGTCCCGCGGTCCGCTTTCTGTTTGGATAGAAAAAGTGTGTTTGTTGCGTTTAAGCACTAGAAAGGGACCTTGTTTAGGGCGATCAAGAGGGCCCTTGGTTGCGTTGTTGGTGACGAGGACGTGACTGCAATGCTCCAAATCAGCGGGAATCGATGTTGTAGAGATGACTGGACGGGAAAGCGTTGGTTGAAAGCTGTCCACGCGAGATTTGATTAGCTTTGCAAAACCGACAGGATCAGAAGCAGGCGTCCCAGCTTCATCAACTGTTAAGTCGGCCGGTAGGCGAAGTTTATCAGCGTAGACGAGTTCAGCGCTAGAGAGTTTTAGATCTTCTTTTGTTGTAGCGCGAATGCCAAGCATGATGAGAGGAAGTTGCGCTGTCCAGTTTGGCTCGGTGTTTAGAGCTTTGAGGNGCGTAGACGAGTTCAGCGCTAGAGAGTTTTAGATCTTCTTTTGTTGTAGCGCGAATGCCAAGCATGATGAGAGGAAGTTGCGCTGTCCAGTTTGGCTCGGTGTTCAGAGCTTTGAGAGATGATTTTAGTTGACGATGAAAGCGTTCCACCATCCCGTTAGCGCGAGGATTGTAAGCTGAGGTGGTGATCAGCTGTGTGCCCAGGCGGCTGCAAAACTGCCTGAACAAACGGGACTCAAACTGCCTGCCCTGATCGGTAGTTACCGTATCTGGAGTGCCGAAACGAGATATCCAATGGTCGACAAATGCATTTGCGACAGTTTCAGCTTCGATGGACGGCAGTGGAACGGCTTCCGGCCAGCGTGTGAATCGATCCACCATAGTGAGCAGGTACTTGTTTCCCTGCGACGGCGGAAGTGGCCCGACGATGTCCAGGTGGACATGTGAGAAACGTTTGGAGGGCATGTCGATTTGTGCTGGCGCGATGATAGTGTGGCGATGAACCTTACTCGTTTGGCAGGACATGCAAGTGTCTACCCAATTTTTGATGTCAGCAGTTGCTGAAGGCCAAAAGTAGCGCTCGGTGATCAGCTTTCGAGTACCACGAACTCCTGGATGAGAAAGATTGTGATAAAGATTGAAAAGCTTACGACGGAGCGAACTGGGAACGAAAGGCCTGATCTGGGAACGAGTGGTGTTTGCAATGATGATAGGTGAACCTGGTAGAATCCGGAATGACTTCAAAGCGGGAGACGAACGGAGAGATTTGAGTTCGGCGTCTTTTTTCTGCTCGTTAGCCAACTCCTCCAGGGACCATGGTGCTTGATGATTCTCAATCGCATCGACGTTGAAGCGCGAGAGAGCGTCAGCTGCTGCATTTTCATTACCTTTGACATATTGAATGTCGCTGGTGAACTGAGAGATGAACTCCAAGTGCCGAGATTGGCGCGGTGACTTCTCCGTGCCAGCAGAGAGAGCTGTAGTCAGCGGGCGATGATCTGTGAAGACGGTGAAAGGTCGACCCTCCAGCATATACTGGAAGAATTTGATCGCTTTTACCACGGCCAAAAGCTCGCGGTCGAAAGTGCTGTACCTCTGCTGTGGTGGTTTGAGAGCGCGGGAGAAGAAAGCAAGAGGCTGCCACTTGCCATTTACTTGTTGTTGGAGAACGGCGCCGATAGCTTTATCAGAAGCATCAGTTTGTACTGATAAGGGCGCGTCTGCTTGATGATAATGCAGCAGTGTTGTTTCGGCAATCGCTGTTTTTGTAGAGACGAAGGCTTGTTCAGCCTCTGGAGTCCAAGTGATGTCCTTTGATTTGCCAGATAAAAGATCGTACAGCGGCTGGAGGACAGGAGCGATGCCTTTGTGGAAAGACCGGTAAAAACCGACCAAACCAAGAAATCTGCGAAGTTGGCGTTTTGAGGTTGGCTGTGGAAAGTTTTGAACTGCCTCAATTTTCTCCTTTATGGGGATGAGGCCGTTTGAAGTGACACGATGACCTAAGAATATCAGCTCAGGTCGAATGAACTCACATTTTTCAGTGTTGATCGAGAGCCCATTGTCAGCCAATCGAGAGAAAACTTCGCGAAGATGGCGTTGGTGATCTTCCTGATTGGAAGAAGCGATGAGGATGTCGTCGATGTAGACAAAGACGAATGAGAGGTCGCCAAGGATAGAGTTCATGAAGCGCTGGAAAGTTTGAGGGGCGTTTTTGAGCCCAAACGGCATACGCAGGTATTCGAAAAGGCCGAAAGGAGTGATTACGGCGGTCTTTTCTACGTCTTCTGCCGCTACTGGTATTTGATGGAAACCTTTGACCAAGTCGATTTTGCTGAAGACCTGGCAGCCAGCGAGATTTGAGGAGAAGTCATGAAGGCGAGGGACAGGATACCTGTCGTCCTTGGTGATAGCG